TGGAAAACGGTTGTCATTCCTCTGTAGCATCTGGTCCCCACTGGACCCTCATCATTTCCTTCACCTGCTCCCCCCACCGACCAAACTGTGCAGCTCTGCAACTGCATCCTGGCCCATCCTCACCCTTCTGCCCCCAACCCTCACCTCCTTGTACCCCAGTATGTTTTTCCCAATAAAAAAAATTCATCTATAAAAAAAAATTTCAGATACAGATATAAACAGAAAGCTCTTTATTTTTATACATTTGAGGTAGTAGTGTAGTATTGAATAGTTGCAACAATGGACTCAAATACACACATAATCATAAAGATGATGCAGGATTGGAAAACATTTTGTTCTGTTACACATGAGGTCCCTGAGCACTAGAGGTGCTTTGAAGGATTTTTCCGAAAAAGTAAAAAGAGAACCTACATATTGATTAAAAATATTTGCCAGTGAAATAGCTGACATCCTTCTGGGCCTCTTCTAAACCTAGCCTGTATTCTTGGCAGTTTCCTGTTGATCAATTACTCTAGTAATTTTTTATAATGTTCAGCAAAATCTTGCGATAATAGTGTAATAGAGAATGTGATATACGTGATATTGTTTGATAATTTACACATTCTGTTGGATCACCTTTTTTGGATATAGGAATAAATATGGATCTCTTCTAGTCAGTTGGCCAAGCAACTGCCCTGCAAATTTCTTGTCACAGATTGATGAGCACATCCAGGGCTGCATTTGTTTACTGAAATATGCCAGCTGGTATTCAATCAATTCCTGGGGTATTATTTTTTGCCAACTGCTTTAGAGCAGCTTCAACTTTTTCCTTTATTACCACTGGTTCTTAATCATATGCCAATTTATGAAATGGTTCTGTGTCAGCTAACTCTTTCTGGTACAATGACTTTGTATATTTCTTCCATTGTCTTTTGACGCTTCCTGGATCAGTCAAGATTTTGCCCATGGCATCTTTAAGCATTGCAGCTTGTGGTTTGGGTTTGTTATTCAGTTCCTTCAGCTTGAGGAAGAAAAATCAAGTGAGTTTTCCTTTTGATTTCCTGACTCCAGCTCTTTGAACAATTCATTTTGATGCATTGCTTTGTTTTCATGAAATGCCCTCTGAAATTATCTGGACAGCTCTTTTAACTACCTCATTTCTTCCTTTTGTTTTGGCTTCTTGGCATTCTAGTGCAATATTCTTTACATCAATCTTGGTCTTTCTTCATCCTCTGACTTTGTAATGACTTTGCATTCTTCATGGATGATATCCTTGATGTTATCCTACAACTCACCTGGTTTTTATTCATCAAGGCGTCAAACCTATCTTTGAGATAGTTTTTAAATTCAGGTGGCATACACTCAAGGTCATATTTTGGTTCTTATGGATTTGTTTATTCACCTCAATTTGAACTTGCACATAGGTAGTCCACAGTCAGCAACATAATCAACACCTTTGCATGGATTTCACAGTGGATATTGAACTTCTCCAATGATTCTTTCTACAGATTCAATGGATCTGATTCTTGTGTAGTTTATCAGGTGAGGTCCATGTGTACAGCTGTTGCATGTGTTTTTTATAAAATGTATTTGAAATAAATAAATAAATCATCAATTGTACAAAATTCTATCATTCTATCTCCAACTTTATTTGTTACCAAGCTTGTATTTTCCAACTCCTAGTCCTTCTTCCTTGTTCTGAATTTTTGCATTCCAGTCACCAATTATTATTAATGAATTTTGGCTCCATGTTCAATTGATTTCAGACTGTAAAAGTTGACAGAAATATTCTCTTTTCTCCTCTCTGGTTTTAGCTATTGATCCATATATTTGAATGACAGTGGTATTTACATGTCTTCCTTGTATGCATTTAGTGTTATATACACATAACACTATAGTGTTCTATTACAATATTGTATTTCGAGATGGACTTAGAAAGAGTCTTTTTTTCCTATAATTGCAACTCTATTATTCTCCACTTTTCTTTCCTGTCATAGGAGATAATAAGATTTTTCTAACTCAAAGTGGCCAGTGCCAATTGATCTCAGCTCATATAAATATTGACAGCAACAACAGCAAACTTTCATAAGACAGTAAACAAGTGCTGGCAAGGATGTGGAGAGATTGGCACTCTCATACACTGCTAGTGGGAATATAAAATGGTACAGCTATGGAAAACAATTTGAAACTTCCTTAAAAAGTTGGGACTACAAATACATTTGATTCAGCAATTCCACAACTAGGTATATAACCTAAAGAAATAAAAGCTGTGTCATGAACATATATATCCATGTTCATGTTCATTGTACTACTACTTATAATGGCAAAGAGGTGGAAACAAATCAAATGTCTATCATTGGATGAATGGATAAAGAAACTGTGATACATATACTCAAAAGCGAAAATGCAACACTAAAGAACAATGGAGCCAACAGAATGAAAAACTGGCAAGTTACTATGTAACAGAAATTAAATTAAGTTCATTCAGTGATTGAACACAAAACCCCCCAGCTACTATTTATTTTATGGTCTGAAAGTTGAATACATAACTTCCTGGTGGTTTGGGCTTTGTGTGTGTGTGTGTGTGTGTGTGTGTGTGTGTGTGTGTACATAAACAACAACAATAAACAAAAACACAGAGTTATGTTTTCAACTTCTATCTATCTATCTATGAAAAGCATCTCACTCCTTAAAAACTTCCTCCTGGGCAATTAACTGCCTCTGAAAACCTGCTGGAGAGTCAGCTATGGGTCAGTTCTGACTCTACAGTTCACAACAACAATTCCTGGTTTCCACAGAATTATACTATTTGTGTCTTATTGTTTTGGTAATGTGTCCTGAAGAGGGTGAAGCTGGTTTGCTCCTTGGAGGCAAAGATTTTGAAATTCTGTCTCACATACTCTGGGCATGTTGCCAGGAGTGATCTATCTTTGTAGAGGACATCATGCTCGGAAGGGTAGCAGGTCAGCATAGGAGAGGAAGACCAGGGAGATAGATTGACATAGTAACTGGAGTAATGGGGGCACATGTGTCAGAGATAGTTTGGCTCAGGAAAAGGCAGGGTTCAGACCTATTTTTCAGAGTTGCTATGAGCTGTGGTTGACTCAATGGCATATACCAACAACAACAAAATGAGACAGCAAGTGACTCCAACAATAAATGGTGTACTTTGAAGGTTTTGTAATTAGTATTTGTATAGAACTTTCTATTTGAAATTTCTTTCAAAATTGCTTTCTGAGCCCCATTATCTCTTATCACCTAGACAACAGTGAGAGGTGGGCAGGAGAGGTTATCTGTATCTCACAGGTAAAGATGTCTGCTTTACACAGTTTATGTGGCCACCGTCTGATAGGCAGAGTAAGAAATAACCAAAATTAAAACACATTTTTAAAAAAAAATTATTAAAACACATATTTTATTCTATACTGCTTATAAGCCAAAATCACTAGATCTGCCTATAAAAGTAATGCTATTTGCTAAATTATAGCATAAATTGAACCACCAGGAATGGAAAAATGAACAAAATAAATCTTGAAGTAATAATCCAAAATATAGAAAAGGCTAGAAGTATAAAAATATGAATAGTTGCAGAATTTATAAAAAATGGTTGTGGGTAACATAAATACTTCAAGCAGGAATATGTTTAAGTGAATTATAGTATCATGATGCAATGTAGTATACTATTAATTATTAAGCTTAAGAAGACTGTTAAGCAAGAGTTAAAGATACTAATGAAACAGTAAGTACAACCTAACAAACATAACTGTACTTAAAAACTTATTAAAAAGTTCTAAAGAAAAAAATACATAGAATTGTATTATTAACTATTAATAACAATATCATAGAATAATAACTATGTTGCTGTCGTTGATTGCTTTCAAGGTGAGCATGACTCATAACGACCCTATGAACAAAAGGCTTGATGCCCCTCTAAAACCACCAACATTTATCAAAGTTCATAGAGTTTCCAAAGGCATGTTATTTAGGAAGTGGATGCCACTCCTGCTTCCAAACCCGTCATAAGATGTTACCGTTGTTATATGCCATTGAGTCACCTTCAATGTATACTGACCCTATGTATAGCAGCTCTGAACCCTTCCCTGTCCTGAGCCAGTCACACTAATTCTGACACACAAACACTTATTGTCCCAGTTACTCTATCAATCCATCTCATCTGGGGTTTCCCTCTCCTGCACTGTATGCCCACCCTTCCGAGAATGATGTCCTTCTCCAAAGACCGATCTCTCCTGGCCATGTGCCCAAAGTAAGTGAGGTGGAGCTTCAAAATCCTAGCCTCCAAGGAGAGACTTAGTTTCACCCTCTCTAAGACAGACCTATTTGTTTTCTTAGCATTCCATGGTATGCTCAAGACTCTTCTCCGGCATTATAACTCTAAGGCATCTATTCTTCTTCTGTCATCCTTAGTCATTGTCCAACTCTCGGAAGTATAACAAGTAATTGAGAAGACCATGGCTTGGAATAGGCACATTATAGTTATTAAAATATAAATATAAAAACTGTATTATCAATAATCAATAATTGTATTATTATTATTAATAAATATACTATACAATAATTGTTATTATTAATAATATCAGGAATGGAAGGGTTATAGGTTTAAAAGTATTGGTTTGCCATTTTTTAGTATTTCTTTAATAAATTTTAATTTTGTATACATACTTTTTTCCTCATCTCTGTATTTTTATTGGTATGCATGCTATGGTAAAATACTAAGAAGGAAAATATCTCTTCTTGACCTTTTATTAGTTAACTTATTTTCTCCCTTTTCCTCTCCACGACCCTAAATTATATATTTTCTGAGTCTCTCAGAATCCTGCTATGGTTAATGTAGATGTTCACTTTAATGTAGGTGTGGTTCTAGAAAATGTTTCTAAGGTTTCTAATTTTTTAAGTTACCAAGCTGAAAAATATCCTAAACATAAATAAGGTCTCTTTTTTTTCTTCACTTTGCTTCCTGACTAATTTTCATTATGCAATAATACCAAAGTGCAATCCTATTTAAAGAGTTTAAGAGTCAAGCTCATAGTTAAGTATGGTTTTTAAGTAAACAGATACACCTTCAGGATTATAATTTTAAATTTAGGTGGGAGCCAGTGAGGTTTTATATCTGTAAACATGGGAGGCTAACAATACTCAGACAGCTCATGTTGACCATGAACAGAACTTGAAGCTGCCATACTTGTGGCTCAGTTAAGCTTTAACCCTCATTGGAAGCTGAGTGCTAAGGAGCTGACTCAGTATTTTCAGCCTGAGGTGAGGATCTCAAAGCAGATTGTAGATTAGTAGGTGCACATTTCAATTTCACCCAGGGAAGCAATCACTTACACTGTTGTTAGGTGCCATTGAGTCAGCACCGATTCATAGTGATCCCAGGTACAACAGAATGAAATCTTGCCTATTCCTGAACCATTCTTACAAATTCTACTGCGCTTAAGCCTAATGTTGCAGCCTCAGTGTCAGTCTATCTCATTGAGGGTCTTCCTCTCCTTTGGTGACCCCTTACTTTTCCAACCATAATGTCTTCTTATAAAGACTGGTCCTTCCTGATAAGATGACCAAGTATACAAGAAGCTCCACTGTCCTTTCTTTTAAGGATTACTCTGGCTTCACTTTTTCCAAGACAGAGTTATCTGCTCTTTTGGTAGTTTATGATACATTCAATATATTTTATCAACTCTACAATTCAAAGGCTTAAATTCATCTTTGATCTTCCTTATTTATTGCCCAACTTTAACATGCTTATGAAGCAAATGAAAACGCCATGGTTTAGGTCAGGTACACCTTGTTCTTTAACTGACATCCTTCCTCTTTTAGCACTTTAAAGAGGTCCTTGGCAGTAGATCTGTCCATTAATTTCTTCACTGCTGCTTTTATGGGCTTTGATTTTGGGTCCAGGGAAAATGGAATCACTGACAACTTCCATCTTTTCTTCATTTTCATGATGTTCGTTACTGACCCAGTTATGAGGATTTCTGCTTTCTTTACCTTAAGATGTAATTAACATTGAAGGTTATAGCATTGATCCTTTTCAGTGCTGCAAGTACAAGCACTACAAATTTGAAAAACTGTTTAGAATGTCTGCATAATTGAAGAAGAAACATGAGCTCGGTAGAGTGAGCAGGGATATTGCACAATGAGGAAAAGCTAGTCTGTTCCTCTCAGAGCTTCCTCCCATGAACTGCTGCAAACACTATACAGGGAGCTCACGTGCCACTGAAACAGCTGGTGGCAGAAGTCTTGTCACCCTGCCTTGATATGTTCTACTGATAAGGTGAGACCAGGCAAAACCAGTCTCAGAGACCTTCGAGGGATACTCACCCTTATCATTCATGCCTCCTGCATATTTCATGATTTTCGGCATTGCTTCCCGAAGAGCCTCCTGCACAGGCTTATCTGTCACTTCTATTGTGGCAAACTTGCCGCCTTCACAGGCCCTTTCCTCATAGGAGACATCTTCCTAGAGAAACAGGGGGGGAAAAGTGCTTAAGAGAAACCAAGGAACAAGCTGGATGCTCCCAAAAGGAGTAAAAGCTCAGTTGCTTTAGTGGCATAATGGTAAGGAGTTATGCTGCCAACCTAAAGGCATGTGGTTCAAATCCACCAGCTGCTTCATGGAAAAAAGAGGGTAAATCTCTTCTCGTGCAATTTACTGCCTTGAATCAGTATAAAACAAACAACTACCAGAGAACTTTCAATAAGGAGCCTTGGTACAGTAATAGGACAAGAGACTGGCTTGTGTACGATTGTGAGAAATAGGGCCTGAGATTTCCATAAACACTCAAGCAATTCTGAGAGCAGAAGAAAACTTCCTCCTATAATTAATATGTTCAAAGAAATAAGAGTGTATTCACAAAACACCAGAATGGTATTAAAAGGGAAATGTTCAGGAAACAAGAGTGCTTGTGATTAAAAATATTAGCAGAAATGAAAAATTCAGAAATAATGCTGGGTAATAAAATTGTAGGAACTTTCTCATAAAGGCAAAATTTAAAAAAGATAAAGCCATGAAAAGTGGAAGAGGGAAAAAAACCCAACAACAAAGCACAACAACAAAATCTCCCCAAATGCTCAAGCCTCAAGAAGAGCCTCATTCTTGTAGCATAGTTGTGAGACAAGAAAAATCAGAGGAATTGCTCCAAAGTGCTGGGGAGCAAGGGCGTTGCTTTAAAGACTAAGGTGCACCTGACCCAAGCCATAGTCTTTTTTGATGACTTGCTATGCACCTGAAAGTTGGACAGTGAATAAGGGTGACAAAAGAAAAAGCAGTATCTTTGAGTTGTGATACTGGAGAATACTGAGTATTCCATGAACTGCCAAAAGAACAAACAAGTCTATCTTGGAGAAGTACAAACAGGTTGTTCCTTGAAGGCAAGGATGGTAAAGTTTTATCTCAGATACTTTGGGCATGTTGTTAGGATGGGCTAGTCCTTGAAGAAAGAAATCACGCTTAGAAAGGTGGAAGGTCAGAGCAAGAGGAAGAGACCCTCAGCAAGATGGACTGACACAGTGACTGAATAATGAGCTCAATACGCCAGAGATGGTGAAGATGGCACAGAATAGGGCCAGATATTATTATTTTTTAAAATTATTATTAAATTTTATTAGCTTTAATGACAGATATTATTCTTAAGAGTTACTATGAGTTGCAATTGACTCTGAGGTACATAGCAATGACAATATACTGCAGGGTGTAGAGGCAAACTGCAATAGTTACAGGATCTAAAGTTGATAGGAACTCTGGTGGCTTGTTATTATGGTTATTAAGAGCTACTGAGTTCATAAGGCAAGCATCAACAAATTAAAAAACATAGAAATTATACAAAGTATCTTCTCAGGTCACAATGCTACAAAATTAGAAATTAATAACAAGAGAATAAAGGAG